CCCATCGAAAGAACCACTTTATCAACTCACATTGTCGACTCTGTCAATGGGTTGATTTGTGTTGCCCATGTCCGCCAAAGAGAGGCATATATATGGAACCCCACTATTACCAAGTCAAAGGAATTACCAAAGTCTACGAGTAATTTGTGCTCTGATGTAATCAAATGTGGTTTCGGATATGATGAGTCACGTGATGATTATAAAGTTGTATTTATCCATTATCCTATTCGTCATAATCATAGGACTGTGGTCAACATATACAGTTTGAGGATTAATTCTTGGACAACACTCCATGATCAGCTTCAGGGAATCTTTCTATTAAATCTTCATGGTAGATTTGTCAATGGGAAGCTTTATTGGACTTCATCGACTTGTATTAATAAGTACAAGGTGTGCAACATCACTTCTTTTGATTTAGCAGACGGGACATGGGAAAGCTTGGAGCTTCCCAGTTGTGGAAAAGACAATTCTGATATCAACGTGGGAGTTGTGGGAAGTGATCTTTCTTTGCTTTATACTTGTCAATGAGGTGCTGCTACATTCTCTATACATATTCATCACGGTGAAATTTGGCTTGTTCTTGACTCGGCCATCATGATATATGATGGTTCAACAAGACAACTAAAGCACACTGATCATGTTAAGCAATGTGAAGAAATCTATGTAGAACGCCTTGTTAATCCCCTAAAGATATCTGACCAGGGACGTCGTAACCAGGAATCTCCACAATCATCACATAGCTGATAATTTGTAAGGATTCTGCTTCGTTTAGCTTGTTATGCTCTTTTTGCACCTTTTTTTGTTGTCAAATATAGGACAAGACATTGAATATATTTTGTCCTGATATCGGAACTTGAACTTAATTACTCGCGTCTATGTTGTTGCTTTTGCTTAAACTAGATGGCTATTTTGTTGTGCTATACTCTGTTTTTACGAGTCATGTGAAAATTTTGTAACTATTTGTTTTGTACAATTGAATTTCAGGAAGTGGAAGCTAATGTTGAACACTAATTAATAGTTGCTGCTGACTGCTTGGATCGAAACTATGAAGCCTCTTAATGATCTGTTTTCTTTCGTATTAGACTTGAAGTTCTATCTCGTTATCAGATTTACAATTTGCTATAAACTAGAATCCTGATAACAATTGTGTTGAAAAACTTGGTTTGGTATAACCTTTTTTTTTCGTATAATTAGATATTTGAATGTCACTAGAATGTGAAGAGAACCCGATTTTGTTGAGTATTGAAATGAGCAGGTCCAAATGAAGCAAAATGGATACATTGAGTATTCACATAAATTGATTCCGACTTGTACACATAGAATGTTAAAGGAAACCTTGTGGATTGTTCCCCTGCTTTTCAGGGTGAAAGAGTATTATTCGTATTTCAGATTCATTCGTATGTTCAGTAACTGGGAACAAGCTAATGAAGACGACTGAGAATTACAATGCCTCGTTAACTTTCCCTGATATCGTACCCTTGGATTTTTGCAGTGGAGCCATACCTTTGGTGAATTATTCATGATATACTTTGAACAAACAAAATCGTATTTGTATATATGAAATGCTCCACATTTGATTATTGATATTTGCAACTTAAAAGAGTATTGCTTGCATACTTACCTTAGATCCAGATTTTGATACAATGGTTTTTTCGTCTAAACTGTGATATCAAATGTTTCTAGATTAAGGATTGATAAAACCAAAGCTAAATGGCTATCGAGGATTCATATAACTAGTCTCGACTAATTTGTATATGTTAGAGAAAACTTGTGTACCTAAAACCTGATATCGTGTCTGTTGTATTTTGTACCAGACTTGCAGTTCTATCTTGTTGGCGGATTTACAATCATCTGCTATAAACCAGAACCTGATAACAATCGCGTTAAGAACTTGGTCCAGATAACTGAATGCTCTCAAATGTGAAGAGAACCGGATATTGTTGAGTATCAGAATGAAACAGGTCCAAATGAAGCAATGGATATAGTGGATTGATAAATTCAGAGGCGAAGCCAGGATTAAGAATTTGGGGTTCTATATTTCGTTAATAACTGTCAATCAATTTTGTTAGGGGTTCATAAATTAATTTACTTATATATTTAAATAATTTTCTAGTACAAATATAGGGTCTACGAAAAGGCTACTGGGTTCATCCGAACCCATGAATCTCCACCTAACTCCGCCTATGTTGATAATCACTATAAATTAGATAAAACAATGAGTAATTATTTCTCAGATCTACTTCTTCAGTCCTTTTAGTATGTGGATAAAGATAAATTTTACCCGTTGTTATAGTATAAAAACACCTTGTGAGGGTAGTCAAGTGGCTCAAATATACTCCTCATCCATAAGGAATGTCCAACTGGAAGTCAAATCCTATGCAGCACCGACATTTTAATGAGGTGAACATCATGTGAATATGCTAAGAGAATTAAGTATATATATATATATATATACGTAATATTATTTTTATCATTCAATACTTTATTTTGTACGTACACACAAAAACATCACATTCATGCAAAGAATGCCAGAGACAGTAATTGAAAGAAATTATGGTCCCTACACCCTTTAACATATTGGTCAGAGCTTCTTCTTTTTTTCAGAAAGCATATTATTGGACCCAATTGAACCCATTAAATAAAGGCTAAATAATCCACCTCTGTGTATCATCGTTGATGCACCATTTCTTTTACGATGATTTATCAAAAATAGTTTCTTTACCTCTTCAAGGTAAAATATATAAGGTCTGCCTGAATATATAATATTTTGTTCAGACCCTACTTATATATATATATATATATGTTCACTTCTGGCATTCATATATGCAAGGATGTATCTAGAGGGTCGGGAGGATATTCATACCAACTTCTTAGTAAAAAATTACATTGTATATATATATAAGATATTTTTTTAACTTTTATATAATCTCCTGAATATAAGATAAGAGATGGTTTAGTGGTATAGGGTTCAAAATTTACCTTAAAATTTCAAGCTAAAATCTAGATATTATACTTGAACTTTATAAGTGAAAATTCTAGATCCATCACGGCACGTGCTGTGATATTTGATACCAGATAGCAAATAGCAGAACTAACCAATGAACAAGCTTTTGACTGCATCTTCCTTATCAAGAAGTGCAGAAAAATTACTTTTCTAGTCAGTATATAATACCCCACCTTTTTATTAATTTAGTTGGACCATTTCTATATATATATATACATATGGTACCTTAAACAATGGATAAATAACACATAAATTGAGGGTTATATATGTGGATGTTCAGACATATACAAATTGAAATGTTAAAAATGGATCAAGTTATTTTATTTATAAATGTAACTACAATTAACATCTCTATGATCTGACTTTTGCATAAGCTTTATTTATTATTTGTTTGTCTAGGAAAATATAGAATTCAAAATACATACAATCATAACTATATATCAATCTCAAATAAGTTGTGTTGGTTATATGAATTTTCAATATGTTTTTAGTCTAAACTCAACTCATTTCCTCAACAACAACAGCTATATCAAGTTGTGGTACGCTATATAAATCCTGATTTATCATCAACAGTTATTGTGTCTCGGTCTCAAATTCAACGTACTTTATCATCGTATAAAAAAAAGAGAATTCAAAATACAACAAAAATTGTATCTTAATGTCAAATAAGTTATATCAACTATATGAGTTCTCAGTGATCATAGTGTCCATCTAAACTCAACTCGTCTCATCAATAACAATAATTATGTCTCAGTCCCAAATAAATTGGGATCGGTTGATCAACTTGTTCATCATCGACTCGTCGTACCAAAAAAAAAATCCAAAAACACATTGACAAGAATCATTGGCTGAATGTAATATTCGAAAACCCTTTCTTAAAATTAAAGTAGTCAACACTTGAAAGGAAAAGCAAAAAAAGAAAAGAAAACAAATTAGTAGAAAAACAAGATTCTTTACAAAATTCTCACCAAACCCTACAATTTTCTTAAGAAATTCCATTAAAAGAAAATGATGCATGCTCTCAATATTCCAAGAAATTTATTTTGCCCTATTATTAATACAAAAATATACTAATAGCAATTACTACATAACTATTGTATTTAACTTCCCCATACAAGAAAAGAAAAAAAAAAGTCTGATACACAAAATATCTCGCGTTAACAAAATCGAACAAGAATACATACATTTCAAGAATGATGTTGATGATCATCTCCTCCATTATGCTGATTAGAAGAACCACTAGCATGACCACCACTTTGTCTATACGAGTTCATCGCCGCCGTCAACATCCCCCATTGCCCTTCTGCCGCCGTCCCACCGCCACCACGTGTCCCCAAAATTGGTTGATGAAAATTCATAAAATTCAATAACCCTCCTCTAATATTTGAATTCTCAATATTATTATTATTACTAGAAGATCCCCACATAGAACAATTATTAGGGTCATGATGACTAGAATTATTATTATTATTTGTCATCATATATAACGTTGTTGCTGGAATATGCCCAATTTGATGACTCGCTGGAATTGAACCATAAGTACTAGATTGTAACATATTACTCATAGGGTAATTATTTTGTAGTAAGTCTTGATCTTCTGACCTCCGCTTAATTCGTCCAGTATTATTATTATTATCATTATCATCATCATCATCATCACATAACTCCTCCTTCGCTTGTAACATGTTCAAATTCCCACTAGGGAAAAATGAATTATTTTCGGACGAAAATAAACCAACCCCATTAAAATAATTTCGGTCATGATAAACATGACCGAAATTATTAATATTATTATGTGCTAGGTAGTTACTAGCACTATGATGTCTAGAACTTCTTAAAGAAATATTAAGTGATGAATAATTAGCTGGAATAGTACCAGTACCAGTAGCAGCAATAACAGCAGGTTCAGCTTGTTGTAAGAGCCATTCAATAGTTTCACCATCAGATTTGTGACCTAATTCTCTAGTGAGTTGAAAAACCCTAGCTGCACATGTTGCTGGCATACGAATTCTTCGACCACGACCATCAACCTTTGTGTGTCTATCTTTTGTTGTTGTTGGTTTTTTTGCTTGTTGTTTCTTGTCTTGATTTTTTGATTTTTGGTTATGATCAACACAAGGTGCATCACTACTAGAGGTAGTCATCATGTGTAAAGAAGTGGAATTATAAGGATGAACTTGTGATGAACATATTGTTGAATGATCTACTTGATCTCTTTTTTCTAACAATTGCAAGGGGAAATTTGGTCTTTGAATGGAATTTCCAATATTATCATGATCATGATGATGATGGACATTTTCCATTATAAGAAAATTAAATTGGTAGTGTTTTTCTTTGAGTGAGATGTGTTTGAAGTGGGGGCTAAGGTAAGATAGCTAGAAGTTGTAGTAGTAGTAGTACATCTAATATGATGTATCTATCTATCTATCTCTATTCTCTAATGGATGGCTCTCAAGAAAGGGTCTCTCTCTTTAGCATAAAATATGCGTACATTTTATTATTTTCAGATCCCACATATGAAATTATAGTAGTTAAATGTATTAGTAGTAGTACATCTAATATGATGTATATATCTATTTCTATTCTCTAATGGATGGATCTCAATAAATAATCTCTCTCTTCAACGTAAAATTTGTGTACACTTTATCATTTTCAGACCGCACGTATGAAATCACACTAGTTGGATAAGTCATTGTTATTTTATATTGACCGGAAGAAATAATTTATTTTTACATTATATCGATATAATTCAATTTGTTATGATTTAAATTTTTACAAGTTTATTAATTACTAGTGTTTATTACTCCTATCAAATTTTATTTATAATTATCTTATATGTAACTTGATTTGTACCAAGCTTTTTGCTGTTTGAAGTTTCTTGTTGATATATTTTTGGGTCAAAAGAGAGGAAAAAAGCTAAGGGGGAAAGAGAGAAATGAGTGAGAGGTGCTTTAAGCAACAAACATAATGAGTGGGAATGTATATGAGTGGGCTATGGGAATTGGAAAAGCTAATGTTAATCATGAAAGTAAATTTTTGTTTTTATGAGGGTATGATTGTAACTTAATCGAAAATTATTTTCTAGAAAGATGTAGTAGTATTATGTAATTGAGGAAAAATCATACTAATTCAATTGGTCAGTTGTTTAAATTTTTACTTTATTGACGATAATTTGATTTTCATGATATTGTAATCTTCTCTTTATTTCTCCTCTCTCTATTCTCACTTTAGAGGAGGGGAATGTAATATAGTATGTAATTTTGTATGATGAAATGGTAAGTAAACGTTTGGTCATAAAATTTGTGCTTAATTTTGAAGTTTCAATTTAAAACTAGTGTTTTTTTATGAAATAGGTTATTTAATTTCAATTTCTTTAAACGTAAGATTTCAAATTACAAGCTATGATTTTAATCTTCTTAAAATGTAAAACTTGACCTATAAATTCTTATTTTGTAAAAAAAGATCAATTATTTTAAATTTATTAACAAACAAAGATATTTATGCTCCAGATGAATAGATTGATTACAACATGTGGGAGGATTATATCAATGAATAGTTAGTTACTATTGCTATTGAATTATTAGATTTAGTGGATTTTTATAATGTGTATTTAATAATTTGTAATAGCATATAATTGCAAGTATTTATTTATAAAAAGAACATAAAAATATGTGATTTATTAATATACATTTTAGAATATGTTGATATCTTATTTCTAAATTATGTTTATTTATTTGACAAGATTGTATAAGGATTAAAGAAATTTTAATAATTTTCATAAATTGTAGAGTACTACTCCTTCCTTTCTATTAAATCGATTATAAGTCATAATCACTACCTACATTTCAAAAAAGTATGCACCACAAATAAAAGTTAATAAAGAAATGAATTTTCATATTTACGAAAATAAAATATAACTTAAAAAATTTAAATTACAAATCGTAATAAAACTTCAACTAAAAATCAATCTATTTTCAAATCGAAGTACAAGCAGACCTAATAATTATTGTGGTTGGAGGCAAGGTCCCTTCATTCAGACTCCACGTGTAGTGCTGCTTAATTATCATTCAATTCATAAAGACAATTAATGGAGGGAGAAAAAATAGTTTTTTTTAAAAAAAAAAAAAAAAAGATATAAAGTCAAGTGGATCCATATGTATATATATAATCTCATTTGAGCAATCATTGTGTAATTCAACTTTTTTTCATATTTAATCAACCATTGTGTTGGGAATTCAGGAACTTCTTTTAATGTCGATTTGATTGAAAGCTAATTTATGTGGGGTTTTCTACTTTTTTCATAATTCTTCTTTTTAATATATATATATATATATATATATATATATATATATATACACACTCTTTTTCAAATTACAAAAATTCCTTAAAATTTAAGTATTTCGAATACATCACTCAACGTCTGATACATCATGTCCAGATGCATTACATTTGTTGATACAAGACACACCAGTTCCGATACATCGATCAACGTCCTGATACATCGTGTCCCGATACATTACCATTGTTGATACAAAACACATTTGTCACAATACATCGCGTAAGAGTGATGAATTCGAGAATAGGAGAAAGTAGAGATTTTGTAATTCTTCCGAATGATAGGAAATTTTAGAATATAGTAAAATAAGTTGTGTATGTAAGTAATTTTTTCCATATATATGTTTGATGAGACTTATATAATAACCTTAAATTTGAAATGGAAAGAAAATGAAATACAAGATAGATTTCTTTAGTAGTAAAGTGTATATGTATATTTTATTCTATTCGATTCAAATTATTTGTAGTGTTTCTCTTTTATATGTGTCTTTAAAGAAACTATTAGAATAATTAGAAGGATGTTTTTGACTATTTATTCTCGTCATTTATGTATTAAGATATAATTTATATTTACGTTATATTGAGATATTTAATTTGTCTTCAAGAACAATTGTTATTAAAGATAAATAAGAAAAAAAAATTAAGACAACTACTTTTTAAAATTACGATAGATAATTTGAGACGCCATTAAATTACACTTTATAGTTGCAATTACGTTGAAAATATGACTTCATAACCATGGTTGAATATTAGTATAACGTAACAATTGAACTACCAACAACCTTACAAGATTTAATATTATTTTTTGACTAACTATGATCTAAAAAATAATTTGATAGGTGTAGTTGCATGTAATTCTCAGTACTTAATTAATTATGGCCCCCCATAACTTGATTATGACTAATTTTCCATTCAAGTACATTTTCATCATCATTGACATAATCCAATTAGTGTTTGATTTGTTTTAAACTCTATATAGATTATGCTTATTAGTCATATCTGCTCCCCAAGAATTAAGATATGTTACTATAAGTGCTTCTCAATTAATGCACATTTTTAAGGAATTAATTAGCCTAATTACTTGGCCAAGTACACAATCAAATGTACATTTCTTAACTTAATTGTCATCATGAGTTATAGACTTATATATAGTTGCATATGTACTTTTATTCTCTCTATGAAATAATCAGTAGTACTCTCCCCGTTTTATTTTACTTGACCTTCTATATCTTTATTTTACTTATGTATTTTAGTAAATAAATAGAATTTTATTACATAAAGTAGCATATTAGTTAAACTTAGAGTTATAAAGCATCATTAATAAAAGGGAAAAAGGACAAATATATCCTGAACTATTGTAAATGATATATGCAGATATCCCCATCATACTTTTGGGATATTGGTGCTTCTGTCATCCAAAAACTAGAGCATATATGCCATTCACTCTAATGGAAGACTAACTATGGACATGTGGCGCATCTTATTCGTCGATCCGATATTTAATAAATGTCGGGTCAGTGGATAAGATTATGACACGTGTATATATGTTAGTATAAAGAGCATATATGCTCTAGTTTTTGGACGGAAAGGACATCAATGTCCCAAAAATATGACGGGGGTATCTACATACATTTACGATAGTTCAAAGGTATATTTATCCTTTTTCCCTAAATTTATTCAGTAAAATACATTTTAATTTTAAAAAGTATCAAATTATCAAGTAATATAAAACGGACGGAACAATATTTGTTGGTTCTAATCATATACTCCCTCTGTCCCTAATTACTTGTCTATTTTTTCTTTTATAGTTGTCCCTAATTACTTGTTCATTTTGATAAATCAAGAAAGGACAAATTCTTTTTACCTATGAGACCATCAATTAAATTACTAATTATTTTGAAAAATGTAGAATTTTTCATCCACTTAATAATTAATATGGGTAAAATGATAAACTCATTATGTCATTAATTATTTTCTTAATAGATGTGTCAATTCGTGGACAAGTAATTGGGACAGGGGAGTAGAAAGTACGGTTACCATAATCCACGACAAAGTCACGTTGTGTTCCGAATTTTGACATAATTGTTCGTTTACTTTTACCTATTTATAGTAAACTTTACACCTATTGAAAACTAATAAATAAATTATATACTTTATTAAGATATTTATATTATATATATAGTCTTTTTTCAAAATATATGTTAAAGTAGATAAATAAAAGTAAAAATTTATCTTTAGTATAGTGAATAAATAAAAATGAATGAAAAAAGTGACAGTAATTTCTAAGCGTAAATTAATTGTAAGAGAAAATGACCAAAAAAAAACACATCCTTTATATTTGGGAAAATAAAAAGAAATAGTTGGCTAAAAAGAATTTTGAAAGAAAGGGAACTCTCATTTGAATTTAATTTGACGATCTATTTTTTTGTGTTTGGTGCAATTTTTGACATTTTATGTCCATCTCCAATGTCTCACGACTTTTTTTATAGTGAAATTTATGTGATTTGATAGAATTATAATTAAATATAACTCAATCTCAAGAAATGAATATTGTTCAAAATTATATAACGAGGAACATATCATTCCTATATGATATTGTGGAATATGTAATTATTTCATTAATTATTAAAAATTTAAAATCCATGAACTTGTTTTTTGAAATACTAAAGAAGGAGAAGAAGAAGAGGACGCTAGAATCTAGGAGATAGAAATAATTACTACTCCTATAATATTTAGTGGTTGTACAAAATATGGATCATGATAGAAAGTTTAGAATTTCTTTATCTTTAATTAGATATTTTAGATTCGAGCTTTAAAAGATTAAAAAGAATTTTATTAATTAGAGGACTATCCTCAAACTCTATTATATATGAATTTGAAATTAATCGAATTTTAATACCGTACCAGACATGAAAACTAGAAAAATAATATATATAGGTGGTTGCAAGATTCACGTGAGATGCCAGCTCCTGTTGCAGTGACATAATGGAGATAGATGTCTTACCATCCATTCTAGGCTTAAATCATTCAAACAAAATTGTCGGAATGTTGCTTTTTTTTTTAAATCGGTGTTCGGAGCCTATATTCGAGCCCTGATTAAATTTAGATCACGCACTGCAGGATTCATTCGA